GCCCCGCGAGTACAAAGCGGGCGACCTGGTGTTCGCCAAGATGAAGGGCTACCCGCACTGGCCGGCCCGGGTGAGTACGGCGGCGGCGGCGGCGGCGGCGCGCGAGCCCGCCCGCCCACCATTTTCCCCTTCATGATGGCGCGCCCGCCCCCTTTCCCCATCGCCTCGGCCCGGAGCCCGGCCGCGGCGACAGGGCTCGCGGCTCGGGCGGCGCTGCGCACGGCAGACAGACGGGGTCGCGGCCGCCGAAGGCGAGGGCTCCGGGGCCGGGGGCCGCGCCCGCGCCCGCCAGGGCGGCCATCCCTGCCGCCCACTTCCGAAGGCGGGTCCGGCCCCCGCAGGCCCGACGCCGCCTGCCTCCCGGGTCGCCGCCGCTTGCTCGGGGGCCTGGGGCGGAGGCGTGGGCTCCGGCGGGGTCGTGGGCGGACCCGGGCGGACGTCGGGGCAGCTTGGCCCGCGGCCTGGACAGGGGCAGTGGTCACCCGGAGGCCGGCGGGAGCCGCTTGGCAGCCGTTGCCCAGCCCCTCGCCGCATCCTTCGCCTTCCAGACTTGTTGAGTTCTCCCTGGGCGCGATTCCGGGTGCCCCGCCTGCCCTATCATTGTCCTGGGTGCGTGCCCCCTCGTTCCTGGAAACCGACCCCCGAAAGCCGAGGGCTCGCAGCCTGCCGCCGACCGCTGGGTCCAGCCCCGCTTCTGGTGCCTTTTCACCTCCATGTTTGTTTTAGATCGGAATCCCAAAGCTTGTTCTTGGCCTCCCGCTGCACTCCACAATAGCTCGCTCGCTCTTCCTAGGTAGCAGAGGTTGTCGCGGGGCTGTTTTCTCTCGAAAGCATCTGCCTGTCTTGCCCAGCGTTCAGAATGTCTTCTTAGGCCCTCGGAGTGACGGAGAAGGCACTCACAACACTGCCATGTGTGCTTTGTGTTTTAAAATGACTCCCTCTTATTCTGCACGTTCTAATAGTTGGCAGTCGGTTGCTTGAAATAAGAGAGAGGACGGGAAGAAGTCGGGCGTGCAGTCGCCGCATCTTGGAGGCGATATTGGCATCTGTGCCGAACAGAAATAGGCATGGGAGAAATTTGGCATGAACAGGCTGAGAGCTTTGAGATGCTACCCTGTAGTGAAGCGAGAGATCCAGACCAAGGAGGGGAAAATACCCCCCATTCACAAAAGGAAGTGACATCATGAGTGGCCAGACTGGAAGTTGAGGGCATGGAGGGACATAATCACTTTGTGTGTGTTTGTTTGTTTGTTTAATTTGGTTTGGCCTGATTGTAACATAGCAAGAACCCTGGGCCGGGAATTGGGGGAACTGCTGTCTGGTTCATGCTGGCTTGTGGACTAACCTCTTCAGCTGTCTGCATATCCGTGTCTGCAACTAGAGAGTAACCCTCTAGAATCCCTTCCAACACCAGCAACCTCAGATGTTACGAGGAGGGGCACAGTCTCATTCAGGCTCCATTACCCCGTGAAAATAACTTCTCCACATCTAACTGTAGGTCCTCAAGTTAGGCAGAGTCTTCGAGTTAGCCTAACTGGTTGTTTTTCCAGCTGTAGTACCGTATTGCTTAAAAGGGGGCAAGATTTGTGAATCCCGGAGTCCCTTAGAGAATCCCTGAATATATTTGTCAAGTAAGAAATAAACAGCTTTAGTGCCTATATGTATATCCTTAATCAAAAATAAAGATTATCTCCAGTTGGTCATTTCTTCATAATACATCAGCTTTCTTTTGTGGTGTCTTTGAAAAATATCTTCTGAGAGTCAAAAAGGAAGCAGACTTAACATTTCATGACTGTGTTGCTGGTACAGGTTGGCCACCTGTAGTTGTTTGTCAAACAGAAAAGTGCTACAGAAGTGGTCCTAGTTGTATGTCAAATTGTGCTTGAGATTCCTGGAAGTTATAATTCCAAACCAAAGTAAAGTGGAAAATAAAACAAGGGAAGGGAAGGACCTAAGACTCTTTAAAGAAACAGACAAACTAAAAGCATCCTAGTGAGTGGCACGGTACAGTTTGCAAGGAAACGTGACCCTTAGGAAGAGAACAGTACATGAGCCCCTGCCCTTGATCGCAGCTCCGTATGCTTCTTGTATGTTCTCGTTTTCATCCCGAGTCCGTGAGGCATTTCCCCTGTTATATATCTACTTCTGGCTTAATAGATGATCACGTTCTAAAAAAACTAACTGGAAAAAAAAAAATCCCACCTAATCAGACTGGAAGTACTGTCGCTTTGCTATGAAGGGCACTTACTTATGAGGGGGTTAGATTCTGTATGGCCCCAGAGAATCAAGATGAGGAAGAAAAGCACAGGGGCCCAGATTTCAGTTGATGCTGTGAGGAGGAGCTTTCTAACAGCGGTCAGAGCTGGTCGGACCACGCCAGACTGGAGAAGGAGCTCCAGCTGCCGGGAAGACGGGTGCGAGGCAGCGCCTTGTGAGCCACGTGGGGCAAGGGGCGTCAGAGATGGAACACGTGGAGCTCAGCTCGGCTGGGCCTCACACCGTGCGCCCTTTGTGTGTTCTGTAATCTTTATACATTCCGGGTTACTGGTCTGTATTGCAGGGGCGGTTCCCTCCTCACAGATCTCAACCACAGTCTTCTCCCCTTAAACTCAGGTTCACTTCCCATGGTTTCAGTTAGCTGTGGTCAACTGAAGCCCGAAAATACAGTAGAGTCAGGTGTTTTGAGTGACTTCATTCATACAACCTTTATTATAGTATATTGTTACTGTCTATTTTATTACTAGTGAGTGTTAATCTCTTACTGTGCCTAACTTATAAATTAAACTTTATAATAGGTACATATGTACAGGAAAAACAGTTTCATGTCATGTTGGGACTGTGTGCTCTCCAGCATCCACGGTGGGGCCGGGGTGGGGGGGACTTGGAATATCTTCTCTGAAGATCAGGGGGGACTTCTATTTCTTAAAGCACCACAGAGTGGTACTTGAATGTTCCTACCATTTTCCATAGTGAATTTGTAACTCTCCCTTGTGTCATTGCACTATTTTTCATCGTTAGAATTTCAGTTATCAACTCGAGTTTTCCAATATTTTATGAAAAGTTTCAGAATTGTACAGTGAACTCCCGTATGTCTACCACCCAGATTGTACATTTGTCCTCCCCTTGTCCTATCACGTATCAGTTCTTAACATCCGTTTCTTTTTCCAAACAATTGTCCATCTTGGTTTAAAGCATTTTGAAGTAAGTTACATATGGCACTAAAATTTGCTCCTGGACACTTCAATATGTATGTCATGAACTACAAGTAAATGTTTTTCTTTTGAGGTAAAATTTACATAGAATGAGACATACTTATCTTAAAGGTACCATTCACTAAATTTGCCTGATGTATGCATTGGAATAACACCCATCCCTATTAAGGTATAGGACAGTACCAATACTTGGGCAGGTCCTCTCCTGCCTCTTCTGCATGAATTCCATCGCCAACCCCCACCACCCCCATGTGGTATTTTAACATTAAATAGCAACTGGCTTCTTCTAATGGAGTGTACTTTACTATGTATGACTTTAAAAATTAGAAATTCACCTATGCCAAAGGATTAGCTAGCTTAATTCTAAAAACTGATACATAAAACAGAGCCTCTGAACTCTTGAATGTAAACACTGTTGGTTAAAAAAAAAAAAAAAAAACCACATCCCTAGTGTATGTAAATTTACTTTAAAATTTACACCCATGTACTTTGTACTGCTATTATATACATTATACACTATGAAATAAACACATAAAACTGAGATAACAGCTGTTATACCCAATATTTCATGTTTTAAATTTTTTATTGGCAAAATATCATTAACAGTGATAGATTAAGTCCATATTTTAAACATTCTTAATTTTTTAATATTTGTTTGTCATATCTGACTAGATAGATGGTCACAAGGTTTATCTGCTATTACAGTTTTCTAGAAAAGAAGTGTCTAACTCAGCCATTTTCTTGTTGCTTGCACATAGGTTATCAGTATTGTCTTTGTAGGACTCTCTTTAGTGGCTTGTCTATTTGGTGAGAGCTAGTTGAATTAGAAGTCAATATTCCATGATTCTTCTCAACCAGGCATGGGCATGCACAAGTGGCAGTTAATCACAATGATCCCAAAGTGAATAAGTGATAGAACCAAGTGAAGAAGAGCACTAATGTCAATTTGTGTTAGTACAATTTACCTTTTGGCAAAAAGAATAAGAAACTAAAATAGAAACTCTACTATTTTCTTTCCACACCCCGTAAAAATCATCTTATGTATCTCCTGAGATTTGTGAGCACATTGTTTATGTTATTTCTACTCTAAAAGATGAAAAACAAACAAAAAATACAAAAAGCCTCGAAACTTGTACTTCAACTAAAGAGCTTTTTAAAATTTAAAGGCTTTCATATCAGAACTCTGAAACATTGCTGGTAAGAGAGTACATTGGTAGAATCATTTTAGAAAACTGGCCTAATCTACTTGTGACCCAGCAGTCTGCATATACATAGGCAGAAACCCAAGTGAAATGAACGCTTATGTCCACCAAAACACTAGGGTAAGAATGCCCATAAGTAGCAGCTTTATTCATAACAGAAGACTGGAAACAACCCAAATGTCCATCAGCAGAATGAATAAACACATTTGTAATATCTTTGTATAGTGGAGTACTACTTGGCATTAAAAAGGAACAACCTTCAGATGCCCACAAAAACATGGATGAATCTCAGAATTGTAAGGTTGAGTGACACAAGCTAATACATGCTATGTGATTCCATTTGTGTGATATTTAAAAACAAGCAAAACCAATCGTTGGTGATGAGTTTGCAGCAGGCAGAGGGAAGTCGCTGGCTAGGAGGAGGCCCTGGGAATGTGTCTTGATTTGGGTGGTGGCTACATGGGTGTGTGCATCTGTAAACCTTTATCAAGGTGCACATTTAAGATCTGTGCTCTGTGCGCTGTGCTTCTCTTTTACAAGCACGTTTTGTCTGAGGTAGAAGAAAGAAGAATCTAATACTGCAAGATTCTACATGGATTAAATTTCACCATTTTTAGCTTTGAGTGAGTTTTTCCCCCGTTCAGTCTTCAGCCCTA